CCCCTGGGGGTCGCCGGCCCTCTCGCAGGTGGGGCGCTTCTCGCTGTGCGTGGAGGTGCTGCTGCTGCTCTACACGGTGATGCACCTGCCCCTCTACCTGAGCCTCTTCCTGGGGCTCTCCTACTCGGTGCTCTTCGAGGCCGTCGGCTACCACTTCCAGCAGGGCCCGCAGGCGCCCCTAGGGAACCCGAACCCGCTCCCCTGGGAGCTGCTGGGCCGGGCCCTGCTGTGGGGCGCTTCTCGCTGTGCGTGGAGGTGCTGCTGCTGCTCTACACGGTGATGCACCTGCCCCTCTACCTGAGCCTCTTCCTGGGGCTCTCCTACTCGGTGCTCTTCGAGGCCGTCGGCTACCACTTCCAGCAGGGCCCGCAGGCGCCCCTAGGGAACCCGAACCCGCTCCCCTGGGAGCTGCTGGGCCGGGCCCTGCTCCACCTCTGCATCCACGCCACCGGCGTCCACCTCTTCATCATGTCCGAGGTCCGCTCCCGCAGCACCTTCCTCAAGGTGGGCCAGTCCATCATGCACGGCAAAGACCTGGAGGTGGAGAAGGCCCTGAAGGAGCGGATGATCCACTCGGTCATGCCCAGGGTCATCGCCGACGACCTGATGAAGCAGGGGGACGACGAGAGCGAGAACTCGGTGAAGCGCCCCTCCGCCTCCAGCCCCAAGAGCCGGAAGAAGAAGCCCTCCCTCCAGAAGAACCCCATCGCCTTCCGCCCCTTCAAAATGCAGCAGATCGAGCCGGTCAGCATCCTCTTTGCCGACATCGTGGGCTTCACCAAGATGAGCGCCAACAAGTCCGCCCACGCCCTGGTGGGCCTCCTGAACGACCTCTTTGGCCGCTTCGACCGCCTCTGCGAGGACACCAAGTGCGAGAAGGTCAGCACCCTGGGGGACTGCTACTACTGCGTGGCCGGGTGCCCAGAGCCCCGCCAGGACCACGCCTACTGCTGCATCGAGATGGGCCTGGGCATGATCAAAGCCATCGAGCAGTTCTGCCAGGAGAAGAAGGAGATGGTCAACATGCGGGTCGGCGTCCACACGGGCACCGTCCTGTGTGGCATCCTGGGCATGAGGAGGTTTAAGTTTGACGTGTGGTCCAACGATGTGAATTTGGCCAACCTGATGGAGCAGCTGGGCGTGGCGGGCAAGGTCCACATCTCGGAGGCGACGGCAAAGTACCTGGATGACCGCTACGAAATGGAGGACGGGCGGGTGATGGAGCGCGTCGGCCAGAGCGTGGTTGCGGACCAGCTGAAAGGTACATACAGCCCCTGCCCCCTTTTTCCGTGGCTCCAAGCAGTTCGCTTCACGGCCTTCCCGCCTGCTCTCCCGCCCCTGCCGTGCTCACAGGAGCAAACCTGGGCATCCCCGGGTACTTGGTTTCACCTGAACGGTGTGACCTGAGCATCGGGGTCCCTCCTTCATGGCTCTCCAGGGAGGGGAGGGAGATACGGTGGTTCGTGATGCGTGCCTGGTAGGCGCGAGGCCTTCGGGTTTTAAAACTGACATTTTAAGGAGAGCAGCTTTAGAAAATGTGGGATTTTAATTAGCTGCCAAATATTCCTTAGCTCATGACTTCATCCAGCTTGCTGTGTGGTTTATGTGTTCATGAGGGCTTAAGAGGAGATGATTCACAGGTTTCCAGAAGAAAAGATAACACTTAGAAAGGCTGCGCTTTCAAAAGCAGAGGAGCAGATTTCCGTAACATTGGTACCTGTGCGTCACGCCTCAGGAATGGTCTTGCTTTTTGGCCCAGAAGAACAGGGCACTCTTAGCCGTAGGACCTTTTGCTCACTTGTTTTGTTGACGCGTCAGAAAAGAGTCAAGGTGTGTGACAAGCACAGAGTGGCCACAGGACTTATGGCAGTTCTGAAAATAGTTATTGTATGGGTAAGGCCCAGGGCATATTTTAAAAGGATTATTGTTTAGGAGTCAAAACACACGTTAGTTATTCTTCAGAGAACACTAAAATAAAGTATTAAGGGACATCTCCTTTTGCCCCGCCCCCTCTTAATCTCATTTAATAGCCTGGAGATTGAATGAGAGGAAGCGGAACAGGATTCAAAATAGAGATTGCAGTTATTGATTGTTTTATAAACTGTAGGCAAGAGCAGAGTCTATCGGAGAGTTGGCAGGACAGAAATTTGCTGCCCGGGGCAGGTGCCCCACTCTGTCTGGTGTCAGGGCTGTGGTGGTCATGTGAAATAAGAAAGGAAGAATGGAAGCAAATCTTTAGAGAAATAAGGGAAATAACTGGATTAAATATTCAAATGTCCCCGTCAATGGCTTTATTGAATTTGGTTAAGAAGGACCAATTGTTGAAAGAAAATAAGGAATTAATAGTAATAATGACTACGGCAGCAAGGTTAATTTTTGTAAGAAACTGGAAAAACGATAACCCAACTCAATTTAGAGGAATGCTATAGAGAACTATGAGATGCGGCAATGAATGATAAATTGACATGTGATATGAAAATAAGAGGCCTATCAAAAAATGATGATTTTAAGAAAATATGGAGTCTTGAAATATGTATTTCGGAGAGAGAAGGGGTATACACCAAGGGAAGAAACAATGAAGTTTTGTAGAGAAAATGGACTGAATGAAATTTAAAGTATTATTAATGCTAGCCCTGAGAGTGATGGTGGCACTGGTGTATTATGTAATTGTGTTTTATTGTGGTGCTAGGTTTATGTTGTTTAGGTTGGATGTACGTTTAATAAAAATTAAAAATAAATGTCAGGGCTATGCAGATCACCCTGCTCCACTGCCTTAGCCTGGCTCTTGATGTCTTCAGAAGGATGGGGCCCGGAGTCGAAAGCAGCACAAAATGTGCATTGTGGGCAGGGCGTAATCCTGCTCTCTCTGAAGAGTTCCCTTCCAGGAGGCTCGGAGAAATCAAGCACCCTGCTGTGGCAGAGCATGAGCAGTGTGTTCAGGGCTATGGGCGGTGGAAAGGGACAACAGATGAGTAGTTACTTGAGTTGTGCCAGGGGCACAGAGAAGTGTGTGTGTGTGGGGGGGGTTTCCTATAAGAATGACTGTTCCTGGTTTTGGTGGTGATGGTGGGGTGACGGGGAGGGGACATGATTTGCTGCTCTGCTTTAGGCAGCAGCCTTTCACGGGTAGGACATGGTGTGTCTGTTTTGTTCCTCCTTGTAATGTCTTGGAGGACGTTGGTGTATTCAGTTCTGGGGGTTGACATGGAGCAACTCGGGGGGGGCAGGAAGGTTCTCCCCAATGTCGCCTCAATATACACCCCACATCCCTCTGTTCTTAGCCCAGTACCAGGCTGGTAAGAGCTGTGGGTGTTTCCGCAGTGGCAGGTGAGAGTATTTGTGAACGGGTTTCTGAAGGGGAAGATTTGATCCACCTTTTGCCCTTTGGGTCATTCGTCCAGGGACTGCAGGATCTGACTATGTGGTCAGACTTCCCAGGCCATGTTCTCTGAACTGATTTTTGTCCCTTATGATAAAATATAAAAGCCTGCAGGAGGTTGAAATGAAGCATTTGGTGACTTCCTTGGGGGGAAAAGAATTCATATGTTCTTCCTGTTTGTTGTTCTTATGTTCTGTCAGGCCACTTCCAACTTGTAGTGATCCCAGAGGTTAATTTCCAGAAAAATAGCTGAGTTAGCCCGTCTCAGCATGCTGGCATAAACGAGAGAAGGAAATGCAGAGAGAGAAAGGCCCACAGTCTGGACTTCTTTCTGATTAGGTTGAATGATGGAGTTGGAAGGGGGCCTCTAAGGCCATCAAGTCCAACCCCCTGGTTCAAGGCAGGAATCGAGATCCAACCAGATCTGCCAGGTGGTGGCCCCGTTTTCCCTTGAAGGAAGGCCTTCCGCGTTGGAGCGCTTACCCCCTCCTGAGGTCATGGGTTCCATCGTTGTGTTGCTCTAACAGTTAGGAGGTTTTTCCTGATATTCAGCAGAAATCTCTCTTCCTGTAGCCTGAGCCCAATATTATGTGTCCTGCTATCTGGGAAAGAGAACAAGATCCTCAAGGCTAAACCTGCCCAGTTCTTTCAGTCTTTCCTCCTAGGGCCTGGCTTCCAGCCCCCTCATCCTCCTTGTTGCCCTCCTCTGAACTTGCTCCAGTTTGCCAAAATCTTATCAATTAATGGCCTATTGTTGGTCCAGACCTCTTTCTGGGGAAAGCCTGCGCTTACTGTTGATGTCCAGTGGCTGCCTGAAGTATACTGGATATACAGAACCTTCAAAAAGCAAGTGTTGCTTAAGTTATTGTTTTTGTATTTCTCCAATTTATATCCGTTTTCCCCTCAAAATTGGGACTCAAGTTGGTTCACAGGAAGATTAACTAAAGATGTAACGAATCAATCCCCACAAATTACAATACATATAGTCTTAAAACATGATTGGCATAAAACTAATCAACAGCACAGCAATAGAGAAACAGTGGAGCATTTGCCCATGAAAAAAGCCCTTGTCCTCAATAACTGGCCGCTTGGCCCCAGCCCGCCTGAATGAAAGATGACCGGGAGGCAGCCAGCCTGACTTCTCTGGGCTGGAAGGGAGGGGGCACAGAGAAGTCTTTGAGCGCTCATGTCTCCCCTGAACACCTGCTTCAGGTGGTGGGGCAGAGGTGATAATTGTCTCCCATATGCCTTGTTCTTGTGATGCAGCGGAAAGAATGGGGTGCTCCCAGCAGGTAACAACAGAAGCATCAGTGGCTGTCTCTTTCTATGTGTAACACCCCTGTGCAGTTTGATGCACGTCATGCATAACTCTTGCAAGCATGAGTCTTTGGGGGAAATGGCTGTGGGATGAATGGAGGTATGATGCCGTCTCTGTCAGCTTCCATAAAAATGCCAAATGGAAATATTCGGCAGAAGAAACGATGGGAAATGCAGAAGAGCCTATTGCTGTGCAAACAGAAGCCCTTTCTCTCTCCCCCCCACTCTGGCTATAAGCATCTGTTCAAAATTAGACAGGCAGTCACTTGTGTGGTATTCTAGATCAATTTAGTCTAAACGGAAACTCTCATTCTAAGGGGAATTTTAAATTGGCCTGACAATCATCGGGTAGGGTAATAATAAAAGTATACTTAGCATACGTTGGCAAGCAACGTGCTTTGGAGGGTAATTGTGGCTGCTCAGGTCTGTCCTGCTCAGCGTAAGGGAGCAAGAGGGATGACAAGGAAGCGCGTTGCTGTCCTTGGCTCAGTCCCCTTTTGTGCCCATTTCCTGCGAAGCCACTCTGGCTGCATGTGTGCATTTTAAGGTGCCATGAGAGCCTTGCCTGTCGTTGCGGCGGACTGGCAGGGCTTCCCTAGGGACATTGTGGGGCTGCTGTCTCGGGGATGCTGGTGGGACCTTGCCTTGGAGGGCAGGCCAGCCCAGCCCAGGGCCCCGAAGGGTGGCGTCAGACCCCTTGTCCTGCCACGGTTGCAGTCCTCCTGAGAGTGCCATCTAGCTCTCTGTTGGTGGCACAAGGAGCATGTCTTTCAGGCTGGCATGGGTGCAGCCGGCAGAACTGAGTGTGCCAGCTTGTGGCTCCAGATTGCTACCAAAGGTAAGAGTCTGCCCGGTTGTGCGAGCCAGGTTTTTTTTTTTTTAATTTTTTTTGGCTGAGGGGTTTGAGGGAAACAGGCAGAGAGAAACAAATACCTATTAAGCAGTGACCCGGCTGTGTGTTTGTTGCTGAAAGATGGTCCTGGCTCTTTCCAAAAGGAGCCTTGGGCACCAGGAGCGGCCAACGTCTCCTTGTCTCTGACCCACCTGTAGCAAAGCGGCACCATTTGAAAAAGAATCCTCCTTGTACGATTAGGGATGGCCGTGGAAGAAGAGACTTAGCTGTGTTAACTCTCCTCTCTCTTCTCTTTAGGTTTGAAAACATACCTGATCTCTGGGTTGAAAGTGAAGGAGCCCCCCTGTAGCTGCTCACAGGCTCTGCTTCCAGGTCTGGAGGCTGGAGACAGGAGCAAGCTCCACAGCCCCTCCTCCTCCTCCTCCTCCGCAGAGAAGGCGGGCGACTTGGAGAGCGCTCTCAGGCAGCTGGAGAAGAACAAGGCCTTATGTCCCGTACGTCCCTCACCTTTCTTCCTTGTTAGTTAAAACTCTGCAAAGGGACGTGCGATGCGCTGGAGGGGGAAGCAGCCCTGGTAGAGAAGCCTTTACAGGCTTTGCTGTGGCTTCTTGAAGAAGCAAAGAAACAAAAAGGCTTTGTGCAACACGAGAGAGGTGGCAGGACATCCCGGTGGCCAGAGGGGAATGGATTGGGTGGTCTGTGGCCCACCTTCCTCCCAGAAGTGGGAATCAAGCCAACTGGCCAAATTAAAACAGATAGCATACTTATAAAATAATTTAAAAGAGGTGCAGGCAGAAACGCAGGAAAGGTTATAATATTTAAAAGGCCATTTGTAATATTGAAACACCACGGCATTAAAATGCAATTAAAAAAACCCATCCAAAAATACAAAGTTGGTTCTGAGGATCCAAATTCAGATTCTCCCTCAGCCCTCAAGCTCCTCAGATTAGCTTTAAGCAAATCGGGTGACTCGACAGGGTTGAGAAATCCTGTTTTGAGTTCCTTTGAGGAGAAGTAAGCGGCCGAAATACACGCAGCTACAGGAGGAAAGGTCTCGTGGTGCCTTTGTGGTCCTTCAGCGCAATTAATGCGGGGGGTGGGTGGCGTGAGATGGTGGGGGAGGAGCACTTGTTTGCCGTTGGGTCAGCGCAGGCCTCCTGGAAAATGGGTGTAGCACCATATGTTCCAGGGAACCTGCCGTTGTGCAGAGAGTTGTTATTTGCAGGGAGAAGAAGAAGAAGAAGCAAAAGGCAGAAATCAGGCTATATACCTTTCTTACGGAATACCGTTCTGCGACGTCTTAAAGTCCTGAAAGTTGGCTTGAAAACCTGTTTGTGGACCCGACGCGGGTTCCCAGGCAGGCAGGGCTGTTCCTCTCCGCCTGCGTGCAGCGAGGATGCAGCTGGATGGGAAGGCTGGATCAATGAAGGGCAAAACTGTTCATCAGCCTCTGGTGGAGAGGGAAGTCGTGCCATCAATGCAGGTTAGGTCAGATGTGCTTGCACATAAATTGCCGCCGCCACCGAGTGTAAAATAGTTGCAACCTGTCAGGTAAGTTGCTCTGAAGCACCACCTGCCTGACTGTTCTGCTCCAAACTGCTGTTGCACGGAGGCCGTCAGATCCTGTTCTCTAGCCAGGGTGTGCATTTGTTTTGAGTAAATAAATATAACAACAATGCAGGCTTGCTTCCTTCAAGCTGGGGAGGGGAGGTGTCTAGCCTTGGGCTGACTGGGATTTAACCCCTTCCGCTTCACCAGCCCACATCTGCTGTGTGCGGCTTGTGTTGGGGAAGCCATGGAAACCCACGGCCAGTGATCAGAATGTGGAAAGCAAAAGGGCAACACACTGCCATTTCTACTGAATGGATCTTACCCTTTCTAGCCTTTACTGTGCCTTAACTGTGGCCAGACTTGCCTCTGCATTTGTGCAAACTAGAAACCCACCCACCCCTTTTTAAAAAATGGCATTGCCAACATCTCAGTTAGAGGCACAAACGTGTCCCGGTGCATCCATGCTGGCTGCTCCTGTGGTGTTGTTGTTGTTGTTTTTAGCTGTAGGCAGATTCTGCCAGGAATGGTGATAGCTCTTCTCGTTAGTAGGAGGACAGTTTCTCTTCTGCCCAAATTCTCCTGAGTCTTCTGCTGTACATTTAAGCAAGGACAAAGATTTACCAAGTAGGGATGCATCTAAGGAAGTGGATTGTAATCCACAGAACTTCATATTGGAAGTTTTTCAGGCGCCGTACAGCTTTTGTTTCTGTCATATGTTGGTTTATGAGTGGGATGTGCAGACTGTTGGCAGTTTCAGGTGGGTTGCGCTTGAGAACCCTGTTGAAAATCCTGAAATAGATGCGCTTGAGCAGGCTGATATTTGCCATGACAGCAGGCCAGCTATAAGAAGAGGCGTTAATCTTTCAGTGTGCTTCAATTTTGTTCCAGACGTGTCCTTCATGCAACATTACCTTGGCACCCACCTGTGCTGTGAGCATAGAAGAAGGAGCTGTCCAGAATGGGTGCCAGGAGGAACATAAAAACAGTGGAAAGGTAACTTCACTGTCCTCTTACCTTCCTCCCTGGCTGTCCTCTGTCCGTGGTATGATAGCTCTAAGACGCAGAAACTGAAATGGGGCATTGGTAAAATGAAACTCACTTAAATGGCAGCCAACTTAAAATCAGAGTTGCAGAGGGATCCTGGAAGCCACCTAGTCTTATCTGTTCAAATTCTTTGTCTGCAAGAAGATTTTTTTAGTGTTGAGAGCCTCCCTTTTGAAGAACCCTGTGAGCCAGAGTGATAGAAGGACGAGAAGCTAAGAATAGGGAGATATGCATTCAAGTCTTTGTCGATCTTGTTTGCTGGTCTGGAATAAATAGATAGCTCTCAGCCTGCCCCGCACAGGGCCGGAGTATAGATAAAATCCAGTCTGTGATGCCTTAACTCTTTGGAGAAAATGCAGCTCCTGTTTATCATTCCAAAAGATGCCCTGTGAGCATCTTTTGATGTGGCCGAGATGTTTTTATGACTTACAGAACAGCCACTGTAAAGGTATCTGGAAATGGTCTCCAGTTGTTTGGGTTCTGTTTGAAACTAAAGCCTATTGCCACTTACCTGGCATTTGAAAGTCCTCGCTTTCTTGTTCAGAAATTTAAACCTCTCTGAACGGAGATGTTTTTCCTGCCGAAACATTCCCCCAAGGGGTGACCAAATAGACTTTTGAGCTCTTTGTGGCTTGTGAACCGTTTTTGTCTCTTTGCTCTTCCTTGATCCGATCAGGGCCCTGGAGGATGCAGCCCAAGGTCCCAGAATGGACTCCTGGGTCCTCCGCCGGAGGAGAAGCTCAGCAACAGCCAGACGTCCCTCTATGAAATGTTGCAGGAAAAAGGGAGGTGGGGAGGCGTCAGCTTGGATCAGTCGGCGCTTCTGCCCTTGAGGTTCAAAAACATCCGAGAGAAAACCGATGCCCACTTTGTGGACGTGATCAAAGAAGACAGGTGAGGAGGATGCCCTTGGCAGGGAATAAATAAATCCTCACTTGGCCGAAACACTGAGGGTCTCCGAGCTGGCAGGAGGGAAGGAAGCCTCAGGTTGCGGGGGAGAGGTCGGCGGAGACCACGAGCTGGTGCACAGCAGCTGTTGAGGTTCCTAGGAAAGGGATCGGAAGGAGGAAAGCAGATTCCGTGATGCCTTCGTTATCGCTTAGAACGCAGGGTACAGTCCAGGCCATCCCGTCTCCGAAAGGATGTGGGACCGAAGGACAGCTGAAGTGATCGGGGAGCTTAAGCAGTGTCCGCCACGTGCCCCTTCGTTGGGAGAAAGGCAGGATGTAAAAAATATATATATATAAATAAACAAAATATTGCTGGGGCTGGGTGCTTTTTGTTTAGAAAAAAGGCCAGCAAGAGGGGAACAAGATAAGAGAGTTATGTTTGGGGTGGGAAGGGAAACAGAGGTGGAAATATCCCTCTAAAGCCACCTGGAAGTGACTCCAGACTTGTCTCCTGAACTCGGCCGAAGGCCTAATGCCGTGGCATAATCTGGAGAGTGGTGCTGCCATCCGTGGCGAGGCTTCCACTTTTCAGCAGACCTGTGGGCATTGGTTTTTTAGTCCTGGAGAGGAACACATGGGGAGGACAAGACAGTAAATATTTCCCAGAAGGAATGGGGCATTTCACAAGTTGTATACTGAGAATGGATGTTTCCCCCTGCGGTCTTTGTGCATCGCTGTAAATCCATTGTTGCTAGACTTTCCGTTTCCTGTCCCTCCTCCCATTCTGGATGGTGAGAAAGCATCTGCCTTTCAGAGGGCCAGCTAGGCTGAGAGCAGCCGCTTCAAGCAGAACATAATCTGCAGAAGGGGGTCAAGGAGGAAGTGCTTCTTCGGAAGGTAACTTGTCCATCTGTAAATTCCCTTGAAACTGTTCATTATCAATTTTTCCTCTAGCCTGATGAAGGACTATTTTTTTAAGCCACCGATTAACAAGCTGAGCCTGAACTTCCTGGATCAGGATTTAGAGATGGCCTATCGGAGCAGCTATAAAGAAGAGGTGTGTTTGTGTGTGTAGGCATGCATGTTATTTATTATTTGTTTACAAATACTCATCAGTAGCGTTTACCTCCAAAGATTTCAAAGCGGTGTGCAACCATGGTCGCACACAGAGTATGAAATTGTACACAGAGTGCAAACGGTGCACCTTTGCATCATCCCAGATAATAGATAGTAAAGCTGAATCCCACTGGAAGGCTTGGAAAGACGGCTTAGGCTTTTCAACATGTGCCTAAAAGTGAGAATTATTGGTGCTTGTTTGATACCAGAGGGAACTGTGGGCTGTCTCGCGGGCCCTTGTCACTGGAGGGCATTTTCAGATCTCGTAAGAGGACACCAGAGAGAGGATAGCGACTCAGAGGGCCCAAGAAACAAAGGACTTCAGCAAAGGCGTTTAATGTCTTGCTCGCTGAGCAGCGGCTGGTTCCCTTTCAGCATTTGTGACGCTGTTCATCTAATGACCTCTTGCTTCTCGCCTTGGAGTGAGGCCTGTGTCCTAAGGTCAGGATGGTTCGGGTCAGGAGGGGATTTCCCTCCTCTGGGTGGGCAAGATATCAGAGATGGGAGGGACCCTCCCTGGGTGGTGGCAGGGAAGTGATGGAAAAAACGGCACTGCCCGTCCGAGAGGGCCGTGTGTTCCGGGTCGTCTGGTGTTGTAACTGCAGAGTCCTGAAACCCACTTGTGCCTCACCTTCAGCAGAGCTGCTCCTGGGCTACCTGTCGGCAGGGCCGGCCTACTCCTGCCGGGGCTTTGCCTCCTCCATGCCCGCCTTTCAAGCCAGCCGGCCTCTTGTCCTTTTCCTCTCTTTCCTTCCAGGTCATCAGAAACGCCCCTGTGAAAACCTTTGCCAGCGCCACCTTTAGCTCCCTGCTGGATGTCTTTCTGTCCACCACCGTCTTCCTCATCCTCTCCGTTGCCTGCTTCCTGAAGCCTGGGGTGACTGCCTCCCCTCCGCCCCCGGCTGCTATCGTGGTGGCGGCGGTCGCCATCTTCCTTGAGGTGCTCTCTCTGATTGTCTCCGTCAGGTAAAAGACCCCATTGCCCGTTGCCACGAAAACGCTTGCCAGGGCGGGGTGGGGGGGCATTTGTGGAAGCCCATCCCTTGGCCAGAGTCCTTCCCGTTCACGTTGCTTCCTTATTTTGAGAAGCCAAACATGCTAAAGAACAGGCGCCAAAGGGAGAGCTAGGCAGGTGTTCCATCTGTGGGAAAGTTGCACAAGAGGGCCAAGCCTTCCTTTCCCTGCTTAACAGGCCTGGGCTCTGGCGGGATGCTCTGATTTACACCCCTCGTCCTCTAGGAGCTAAATCCTTCTGAGTCACTTTGAGCCTGTTTTGGAATTAATGCGAGACGGGTGCGTGTGAGCAAGGCAGAGGGAGGGGGCCAGGGGCAGGAGCTGCGCTCGGCCATCTCGTCCCTCCCGCCCGAGTGCCGTGGCCGGAGGGCGATGGCCGGGCCCTGACGGACACTAGAAAGGAAACGTCCTCCAGGCCAGGGGTTGGTTCTCTTGCGGGTAACGCGGGTGGCCTTTGGGGAAGCAACGCTGGTGCATGTGCATCTCCTTCCTTCCTAGAATGGTCTTCTTCCTGGAGGACGTGATGGCCTGTACGAAGCGGCTCCTGGAGGCCGTTGCAGGCTGGCTACCACGGCACTTTCTTGGCGCCCTCCTGATCTCCCTCCCAGCTCTCGCCGTCTTCTCCCACTTCACCTCGGAATTTGAAACCAACATCTATGTGAGTTGTTGTTATTGCCCCCAAAGCCTTCGGACAGGGCAGGAAAGGAGGTGCAGGTCAAGATGGGTGGGCCGGCCTCAGGGAAGGCTAGAGGCTGCAGAGGGGCTGCCCTGCCAGTGGGCTTCTGCCCGTCACCTGCTAGGGGCCCCTGGGGGAACGGCTCTCCCGCTCCTCAGCCTTAGAGGCTGTGTTTCGCACACAGACCAGGCCACCGGCTTGAACTAATGTGACTCCTTGCAGCAGGTTGTCCCACCCACTCACCTCAATAGGCAGGAGCTTATAGCCAATCTTTTTTTCTTTTTCTTTTCTTTTCTTTTCTTTTCTTTTCTTTCTTTCTTTCTTTCTTTCTTTTTTTTGAGCTCCCAGCTCCCTCTGGTGGTGAAGACCGCAGGGGAATTCAGTCTGAAGTTCCTGCCTCCGCTTCGATAGCGGCTCATTCCCTTTGCTCGCTCCTCTTCCTGTTTTCTTACTCCTTAGCCTTTCTCCTCTCTGGGTCGCCCTCCTCCCTGTCACCTCGGGGCAAAGCTTTTCCATGTTCCTCGAGATGTGTTGCATTAAGGAGGCGACAGACAGCCTGGGGCCCTCGGTGACTCTGCGGAGGGAGGGGGAGAGGCGAGCTGCCTGGCGAGGGGGAGTCAATGGCCAGCCCAGACGGGATCCCCAGAACGACCAGAGGTCATTCGGTCCTTTCCCTCTTAAATCCCAGGTCCAGCAGCTACAGTCTGTGTGATGGCAGCTCCCCCCCCTCCCATGGGAGGAGAGGCCAGGGCAGCCCCACAGAGCCTGGGAGATGCTTGTCCTGCACGGTCAAGGAGGGGGAACAAGACCCTGAATGCTACGGGCTATACACGGCTCTAGGCTGTCCGCTGGGGATTGGGACCGTTGCCTTCCTCCTCTTTCCCAGGTGCTCCCTGACTGACTGAAGGGGGGCCCTTTCTGGGGGCCCCAAAGGTGCGTCACTATATAACACATGGAGACAGGCCTGTGAAGGCCCTTCGGGCCATAACTGGCTGGCTAGCTTCTCAGATTTACAGAAGTCCGTCTCCACCCACCTTTTCGCCCTCTTCACTATCAGTTCCTCCAGTGAGGAATCTTTGGCCCAAATGGCCTCACTCCTACCCTGTTTCCCCGAAAATAAGACCTAACCTGAAAATAAGCCCTATTAGGATTTTTCAGGATGCTTGTCATATAAGCCCTACTCCAAAAATAAGCCCTAGTTAAGTGAAACCCTGCCCTCCACCCTTGTGTAGCAACCAGAAGAATGTGACAGGACTGTATTTGAATGAATCTAGATTGTCGTACATGAAAAAAATAAAACATCCCCTGAAAATAAGCCCTCATGCATTTTCTGGAGCAAGAATTAATATAAGACCCTGTCTTATTTTCGAGGAAACATGGTTGATCACCTCCTCTCTGTCAAGGTGATTGGGCAGGACAACCCACTATAAGGATGTCCTCCCCCCCCCGGTATAAAAGGGTCATTTCTTCTCCCCCCTCCCCCCCCGCCCGCTGTTGAGTGACACCATTACTTCTCTGTGCTGGTGGTGGAAGAGGCTGCTATTTAAAAGGACAGCAAGCGAACCACAGCCGCTGTTGCTGTTTGCTTGCAGGATACCATGTTCATGTGCTCTGCAGTTCTCATCACTATAGTCCAGTATTGCAACTTCTGTCAGCTGAGCTCCTGGATGCGGTCCTCTTTGGCCACGCTGGTGGGCGCCGTCCTCATCATCTTGCTCTATGTGCCTCTGTGCCCTGACAGGTGAGGCTGCTGTCCCAGGAGGAGGGGGGGGTCGCCTGCTTCCCTTTGCGGGAAGCTGGAAGCGAAGTGGGGGGGGCCGAAGCGGGGGTGCTTTCCTTCCCCAGAGGCAGGGAGCTGGAAGGAAGGAGCGCTTTCCCCGCCCGGGTCTGTCCTCCTTCCGCCTGAAGGCAGAGGCATTGAGCCCTTTCAGCCTCTACAAGCCCTACCAGAGGCTGTGCTCCGACATTTCCTTTGGGAAGGGCGTTCAAATACAGGGAAGGGTGATTGGGCAGGATTGCGTTTATTTGCGAATAGGAATTGAAGTGGCAACCTAGATGAATTCCTTGTTAGTCTGATCCACCACGTGGATCGTGGGCATTTTTACAGCTGACATGCAACCTCTTCTCTTTTTTATGTTGCTACGGCAGCATCTGTTGTTAGGGACACCTAGCCCACTCCTTCAGACACATGGGGTGACGTTTGGTGGGCTCTGGATAGATATGCCGGATGCGCATCTGTGGGTAGGATTCAGCGAGTGGAATGAGAACTGATCGAAATGCCAGATTATTTATGATTTTTTTTTTCTTAACTAAACCTTTCCCTCTCATTGAGGGACCAAATCCAGCCAATCAGATACGGATTCATCTCATGCTACCTTGTACCAGGGTGTTTCTGTTAAAATAACTGGCTCTGATAAATAAGTTTGTTTTTAGATCTGCTGTCATCCCACTCTGCAGATCTCACACTTCGCTTGTTGATGGGATAAAGCAGGTGCTGTATCTGTGCAACAATCTGGTAGCCTCGAAGGTGCCACTGACTCTCTGTGGCCGAGTCTTGGGGGAGGGATGGCTTGATCCCCACCTGCAGCGCAACCGTTCTTCTGCACTGGGCGCTTGATTTCTTGTTCACATGGTTTCCTTACTCTTCTCTTTCAGCTTCCTGGAGAGCTCGTACCTGGATGCATCGCAAAATTTCAGGTAAGCGTTTGACATCTCTTGGTCTCTCTTGCGCCTTCAGTGACTTTGGCTGCCCGCCCTCCCCCCCGCCCCCCGTGGTCATAAGCAGAGTGTCTCTCTGGGTGGGAGGACAAATGTTTAGCAAAGCTTGTGAGCTGGTGCGCAGATCTCTTCCCTCCATGGAAAGGGCGCCTGTCTTGGCGCAGGACGCCTGCGGCGCTGTAGACAGAGAGCAGGCGCGCCTGAGGTGTTCTGCTGAAGGAGTACAGGATGCAGGGACTGGCCCGTCAGGGCAGACGCACAGGCTCAAGCTGTCCGGTAGGAGTTGTCTCGTGTGGAAAACGGGGCCTGTGGATCTCACTGATAGTGTTTCTTGTGTGTTTCTGTTTTTAGCATCATGGAAATCACTAACTTAACACAAAACGTCAGGTGAGCTTTCAGATCCAGCGACCGTCCTGCATGATTTTTGCTCCCTTGAATTTCTCGGGGAATTTTAACAAATTACTGTAACCACAAAACACATGCTTAATTTAAATAGGAGAGTTTCTACCTAAAAGTTAGTATTCTGTAGAACTGTGAGCCTTGATCAAAACATGAAAATAAATGACCCCCTCTATACTGGAATCCAGATCTCAAGAGGTTGGGTGTGCAGAGATAGGTGCAGGGCGAGCGAGGAATCCGCCCCATTTTGGACAGAGACAGAACCTTCTTTGTGGCAACTGGCCACAAAGTAGTGGACAGAGTGATGGAGTACGACTCTGGAGGCCTGGGTCCGAATCCCCGTTCAGCCGTGGAAACTGACTTGGGGGGGAGTGGAAGTTGTAAAAACCACTCCTTAAATATCTCATTTACCTGGAGCCTGTTTCCCTCTCTACTCCTTTTTGTTTGTTTGTTTGTTTGTTTGTTTGTTTTGAGAAAGTTGAGTGTGAGTGGGTCAGCATTGATTTTGGAGCCCATTACCTGTTCATTATTTCAGGAATAAAAACGAGATTTGAAACACTTGACCTGCAACAGAAAAAAAAGGCAGGAGTCCTTATAGGATTTTCTGACTGTTTGCACCCCTTCCCTGATGCCTAGAAATAGGTGCAGTCAAACCTCAATGAATTTAGGTTTCATGGGAAAGTTTGGTCAACATGAGCTGTTCTGTGTTTTCTTCCCTTCACGCTGCCAAATCAGTTGCAAAATTCATGGGATGCAGAGAGGTGAAATGCTAAATGTAGTTGACTGAGCGCTTAAGGACAAAAGCCTGTGGCATTCTGTTAACCTTTTGTTGCATTTGAATTGCAGCTTCGGAGACCCCTCCCCTCTTCCAGCTGCACTGAATTACGGGTAAGGATAAAGATCTTGTGCCTGGCTCTGTTTTTCCTTATGGGCTCGGTCTATGCATTCGTGTTGAGATTAGCCTGCCATGTTTCCTGGAGGAGAATGACATGTACTTCCAGTCCCTTGAGTGTGAGATTCAGAGAGGCCTGTCGCCTCGATGAGGGGTAGCTCTCAGGATCTTGAGGAGCCCCGGGATGGCCTCTGAGGACAAAACAGGGCCCGAGGTTTGCCAGTGAACACAGAGCTCAGGGAACACAGATTCCGAGGTGTTGCAGATCCAGTTTCTGTGCTTGGGATTGGAAGTCCCCACAAGTCCCTTCAGTGCGTGGAGCTTGTTGGGAGGCGGGAAACGCAGGGCTCCCCCCCTAGTGAGGCTTTTCCCGCTTTCCCAGAGGGACGGCCCTGTGAAGTCTGTTGCTGGGCACAACAAAGCCAACGAGGCACCTCGAGGGCTACCTGGTTCCTTTGGCATGAGCAGCGGTGGGCGGCCACCCCCTTCCCCAGGTGCAGGTTCAGTTCTACCAGGCCTGTTTGTGTTTCATGGGTTGCCCTCGTCTCTTCCCCTCTAGGTCGGCGAGGGATAGCCCCTGCAACAGGTCTGCCCTGGAGGACGCCAGGAGGCCGGCGGACCTGATCGGCCAGGAAGTGATCTTGGGCTTCTTCCTTTTGCTCCTTCTGGTTTGGTTCTTAAACCGGGAGCTAGAGGTGAGTTATCGCCTCCATTACCACGGAGACGTGGAAGCCGACCTTCACCGCAACAAGATCCAGAGCATGAGAGACCAGGCGGACTGGCTGCTGCGGAATATCATCCCGTACCACGTGGCGGAGCAGCTGAAAGTGTCCCAGAGCTACTCCAAGAACCACGACAGCGGAGGCGTCATCTTCGCCAGCATCGTCAACTTCAGCGAGTTCTACGAGGAGAACTACGAAGGCGGCAAGGAGTGTTACCGCGTCCTGAACGAACTGATTGGGGACTTTGACGAGCTGCTGAGCAAGCCGGACTACAGCAGCATCGAGAAGATCAAGACCATCGGGGCCACGTACATGGCCGCCTCGGGGCTGAACGCCTCCCAGTGCCAGGACAGCCACAACCCCCACGGCCACCTGCAGACCCTCTTCGAGTTCGCCAAGGAGATGATGCGGGTGGTCGACGACTTCAACAACAACATGCTGTGGTTCAACTTCAAGCTGCGGATCGGCTTCAACCACGGGCCCCTGACCGCCGGGGTCATCGGCACCACCAAGCTCCTGTACGACATCTGGGGAGACACGGTGAACATCGCCAGCCGGATGGACACCACCGGCGTGGAGTGCCGGATCCAGGTGAGCGAAGAAAGCTACCGCATCCTCAGCAAAATGGGGTACGACTTTGATTACAGGGGGACGGTCAACGTGAAGGGCAAAGGTCAGATGAAGACCTTCCTGTACCCCAAGTGCACAGACAACGGGATCGTCCCTCACCACCAGTTGTCCATCTCCCCCGACATCCGTGTCCAAGTGGACGGCAGCATTGGGCGGTCTCCCACGGACGAGATCACCAACCTGGTGCCTTCTGTACAGAACTCAGACAAGACGGGCCCCGTCTCTGCCCAGAACTCGGAGCTCAAGGACGGGCTTCTCTGTTTCAAGAAGCCCTCCAAAGAGCCGAGACAATCCGACGAGAGGCATCGGTTTGGTAAGACTGCTGAGCAGAAGGACTGCGAAGAAGCCGATCTGGAGGAAGCCAGTGAACTGACGAAGCTGAACAGCTCCAGGAGCCTATGATGGCCTGGCGGGGAGAAGGGAGATCTGTGGTGCTCTGCTTTCCAAGAATGCGGGCCCTGTTCGTCACCGGCTGTGTTCTCCTGGAGGAGGGGGCCGGGGAGGGGGGAGAGAGAGCGGCAGCGGGATCGGTGGGGGCCCCTGTTTTCATCTTGGTGTCCGAACCAGTGCGGATCACAGCCATGCAGGACTCCTGCCCCTCTCTTAGGCCTCCCTTGAGACAGCCTCTCAGCTGAGAGGAGACATCAAGTGCCTTCAGATAGACTCTGCTGGACTCCTTGTCGAGCGACAGAGGCACAAAGTCGGCTCGCAGGCTGGGAGTCTCTGCACGCTCAAGGGACGACCCCCACGGTTATTTTGACCCTTTTTTTATGCCTCGTCACCAACACTACTCTTCTGGTTTTTATTTTCGCGACCGCAGCTCCTTTGTAAGTAAACACAGACAAATGCACGTTTGCCTGCCTTCTGTGACTCTGACACAGCGAAGGGCCCGGGAACGAAGATCGGTGCAAGGCAGTCGTGGTCGCCCTTACGACAGGAAAGGGCCTCTGAGGAAGGGGATGGACGCGGAGGAAGAGGCTGCGATGCTTCCTCGGCTCAGCGGCTGCCAGAAAAGGCAGTCGGACTGCGCTGTGCGGCCGCCCTCGGGTTGCCATGGCAGGCCCTGGGCATGTGGCCGGCTGATCCCTTCCTTCCTCAGGCCTGCCTTGAGCGGGGCTTGGTGCTGGCCAGCCAGTGATCCAGCGGGGAAAGCCAAGCCTCGTGGGGGGGGTGGGGGGTGGTTTCCTGCTGGAGGGCTCCGTCAGGAAGCGGTTCTCTCTATAATTTGCCTGACCCGAGAGGGCTTTCTCACTGCTGCTGCCGCCGCTGCAACCTTTCCTCCTCCTCCCTCCACTACCTTGTTTCTGTGGGGACAGTAGAGGTGGAAAGGACGGGGGCCTAGCTTAAGCCACATGTCCGCTGAGCCTTTCAGGGCACCCTCCATCCAGCCGATCCCTTGGTGGAGGGAGAAGGGATGCTGACGGTGCTCAGAACGATGCAGAGTCTGGGGTGCCGCCTTGACCCTCGTCAGGAGTCTAGGAGAGACGGGTAGGATCAGGGCTGGGAATGGCCTCACAGGGCTTGATGGGGTGTGTGTGTGTGTGTGTGTGTGTGTGTGTTTCAGGTGGCTTGCCCATCAGAGGAAGGCGTCTTTTGAGAAGGAAGTGGTGCCCCTTTCACCCTAAATTTATTTGGTTTGTCCTCCTGACAGTGCCCTACTTTCTTGGATCCTATAGAACCCAATAAATGGCTCGTTTACAACCTCATACGCCCTGCGGACCTGAAGAGAGGGATGGGGAGGTTTTCTACCTTTTTATTTTATTTTAATAAGCTTAGAAAGGGTCAGAGCATTTTAGAATCTGTTTAAGAGGCTGGGTGGGAGTGTCCCTGCTTCAGAAGGGTTGTCCCTTCCCCCCCCCCCGTGCTCTTCTTTTGAGTAGAAGCAGACTTCTTTGGAACAGAAGTGAATTGGATTCTGGAGCACTGGTGGCCCTGAAGGGCCTTCCTTTCTTTGCCTCTCCCTGGCCTTCACCCCCCCCCACCGGTCCCTGTTGGTCAGTGCCGTGTGTGAAATACGCCTCTTTTGAGAGAGCTCCAGGTAGGATGAGGGTTAGGGTGGAAGAGGGTGGTGGGTTTCCAGCTCAGTCCTCACCCACCACCACGTCATCTTGCCAAGGGAACAGGGCGGCCTGCATGCTTCCCAACCTTGATGCCAAGGGCACCCCTGTCTTGCTTTCTTCAGTCCCAAGTACTGTACTAGCCTTCACTGTGGCTGCAATCCTAAGCACATCGACTAGGAATTACCTCCAGTGTACACGATGGACTTAACTTCTGAATAAAGACGTACGGAAGGAGGTAGTTCTCTTCTTCCTTTTCTCTCTCTCTCTCTCTCTCTCTCTGTGCGTGTGTGTGTGTGGGTGGGTGTGCGTGCGTGGGTGGGTGTGTTCTCCCGCCTCCCTACCCAAGTTGGGCTTCCAGGCAGGTTGGTGTCCTTTGACAACACCTCTTGCCTTCTAATAGATGCTGTGTCTTCACGGGGTGCCGCCTCCACCGTGGCCTTCTGGCAAGTCTGGGCAGCCCTTGGCCGGAGCTCCCGGCTGTGAGACAAGGCGGCCCCTGGTGAGCCGCCGCCTCCTCGGTGAGAGAGGTCTTTTCCTTCCCGACTCTTCTTGATTGAGCACAGCGGGACAGCCCCGTAGATCTGGCCCAGGGACGAGCGAGCCGAGGGCGGGCGGGGGCCGGCCGGCTTGGCGGCTGCCCCGCTTTGATGGCCTCTGTTGGGGAAGCGGCTGGCTTGAGTTCCAGCAGCTGCACAAAAGGAGCAGCGACAGTGCCTGTCTTGTGGAGGTGGTGACTCAGATGATTCCTCTTTGGTGTCAAAATGCCTCAAGATAGTTCTTGTAAAATTTTTGATTTGTGTCAGGAGGGGGGCTGGCAACGGGTGGCTCGTGGGCCTTACTTGCTAACGAACAGGGGACATCTCTGATCTCGGAACGGATGCACGCTCCTGCCCCATATGGCACTGACTGCCTTCTGTATTGGAGCAGCGGGCAGATGGAAAGCGCCTCCAGCCCCCCCCCCAAAAAAAATCTGGGCTGAGGCAACAGCCCTGTGTTCCAGAGGGCTCTGAGCGGAATGGCAGGGCACCCTTAAGCACAGGCTTTCTTGAGCCCTATGCGATGGCGTTGTGCCATGGGGTGTATTGGATCTTGTTGCGTCTCCTTGGGCCGGGGGAAGGAGGTGTCGGGCAAAGAATTTATGCTCTGTTTGGTGGGATCTCTGTAGCCGTTCTCTGCCGGGCTGAGCCCAGAAGCCGCCACTGGATTTCCACCAGTTGGAAACATTCCACAGAGAAATTTAAATACGGGAAGGTTGTAGTCTGTCAGCCCGTTGAGGAATAAAGGTGAACCTTTGAAACTTGAGGTTCTGTCGATATTTGGAAGCTAGGGTTCAGAATGGTCTCGTAGAAAGGAGGGAGGTGAAGAAGGAGGAGGTGGACAGGGCAAAAATGGGTGTGAGCGAAATTTGGCTTTTCATCGTCCATAAGACACCACGCCTGTAAACAGTTTCAGCTTCCCTCCCCCCCCCCGGGAGGGGCTGGGTGGGGTCTGTGCCGGGTTCTTTATCAAGGGGCTGCAGAGGATGGCGACACTGGTGCTGGAAGGGGAGGGGTGGTGAGGAGAACACCCCACACGAGAGCAATAAAATTGGGAGAGGGCGATTGACAGCAATAATTTGAAATGCCTAGCAGGGGTACAGGTTAATGGAAGAAGCCGAGTGGAATCCAGAATCCATGCGAGGTCAGGGAGGAAGCCCACCACCGGGCCGTGGACCAAGCATGAGTGGGTGGGCATTTGGGCTTCTCGGAGCAAAAGCCCTCTTGCCGAGAGTCTGCCTCGAACAAGGAAGGCCAGTGAGGCCGACTCTCGAGAGGGCTCTGGAGACAACTGGGGGGTTGGGGGAGCGCTTATGGCAGGAGTGACCAGGCCATGGGGCAGAGAAGCCCTTGCAGAAAGTGGCTTCCAGGGCAATGTGGGGTGGGGGAGTCCTAGGAGGACGCCTCCCACGCAGGAACCAAGGGCCCTCCCCTGCCCTCCCTGGCGGCCCTCCTTTCTCTGAAAACAGCAGGGGGGGGCCACGTTCGGCTGGCCTGTTTCAGCGCTACAGCAGCCAACCAGCAAAGGGCCATTGAGAACCAGGACTCTTTGCAAGGGCTGAGGATCTGTTTGATCTCCTGCCCATACATTTGCCTGAACGTGTCCTTTAATACCACGAATTCTCTCTTGGCTTCCACAGTAGGTGGGCTTCTTCCTCAACCGGCCACCTCAGTTTGCCTTTCAACACGGCCCTACCAAGGCTTCCCAGACAACAGGGTCTCGACTCTATGCAGCCTGAAAGGCGACAAACCGGATCGGTACCTCTGTGTCTCTCGGCCGTTCCCACCCAGGGCGGAGGGGCATTTCGTTGGCATCCACCCTAAATCCCTTGGTCGCCTCTTGCCCGTGGCCACTTCTGGTGGCAACAAGATCTGACAGGCATGAGCAAGGGAAGCCCCCCAGTCTGAGGACAGGGGCTGGGGGGGCTGGCGGAAGGCAGGCAGGTCTCACGCTGCTCACTGGCAGTTCACTCACACACACTCACACACCCTCTGCATTTTCTGCTACCTTCCGTTGCACTAAGTCGTACCCCCAGCCCGCTCAGGGCAGGTCTGGGAAGGTTTTCCTGGACAAAATCAACTTCCAAAAATAATGTGGCAATTCTGAGCCAGGGGTTTGAGACCAATGTGTTTGTGGCAATGGCTTTAATAAAAGGCAAACAAAGTAATTTAATGGCAATACCATTAGAAGCACCCATGGGCTCGGCTCTTGCGTACCTGTAAGGATGCTCAGGATGATGGATGTCCTGTTAGAAGAGAGGAAAGGCCCCTGCTTGGGAGAGGCCCCTCCAATGCAGCAGCCATGGCTGGGCATTGGTCAGTGCTTTGACCCCTGGACAGAAACCTCTCGGGACTACAGCCATCTCGGGCCGCAAACGGTCACCAACCACGTTGCTGGCGGCCTCAAAAGCCTCTGGGTGCCCACAGTCCTCAGTGAGGAAGTTGTAGGTCAGCATCCTTGCGGATGCTCTTCTGGTGCCTTCAATGCGTGGAAGGAGAGAACCCGCCTTCCCAGTGAACGACCGTGCACACCTCAGGCCAGGTGTGTGTGTGTGTTCTTGAACAGCGGAGAAAGCGTTATTCCTGTTCTGTGTGGTAGTTAAAGGCTCTGAAATGGTGTTAGCCTGCCTTGAGGCTTTGCATGGTTTGAAATAAGCTACAAATT